AATAACCAATCTAGAGTATGTCCTAATGTACATTAGAGAAAAAGGTGTAATCTCTATCTCTCATGTTAACAACTCTCCAGCTATCCACCAATTGACACTCTTTCATCACCCTTTTCAATAATCCCATGGACCTGTTTTCCCCTCTCTGTACTCTGGATGTTGTATCTATTTCGTGGATCCATACAAATGTTAAAGTCTCCCGGCCACTATTAGGTATACCTTTCCAAAGGTCCATCAATCTTCTCATAACTTCTTTCAAAAACTTCTCTGGCTTTCTATTAGGGGCAATATATGTTTACAAGCGTACATTCTACGTCCTGTAGTTTACCTTTCAAGTAACAGAAACCTCCCCTCCGGGTCCGTCTTTCTATCTTCTAGTTCAAAACCTAATGTTTTTTGCAAATCCTATAGACTACCACCCCTTTAGCTCTCTTAACTGGGGAATCGCATAATACCATGTCGGGTGTTGTCTAGAGCTTAGCTTAATATTTTTTTTTAACTCTAGGTGTGTTTCCTGCAAAAAGACAACTGAGGCCTCTCTATGTTGTAGTTTTCCCTGTATAGTCTAAATCTTTTACCTGGGCAATTTAATCCATTTTACATTATGGGTTACCAAGCGTATTTCCTGGTCCATATTTTATTTGTCTTCTTCCTTTTTTTAAACCCTTTCCCTTTCCTCTTCCTCCTCCCAAAACCTCTCCTTCATACAAGATGTCAGTTTTAAAAAATCTCTATCCCCTGTCCCTCCCCAATTCTCTCCCTCCCCCTCGAACCTCCCCCCCTCCATCCCCCCCTCCCCCCCTCGTCATCCCCACCTCCCTCCCCCCCCCTCAACCCCCCCTCCTCCCCCCCCCCTACCCCCCTCCCTCGGATACATCCTCCCTCCTCCCCCCCCCCTATTAGGCTTTTTGTTTGCCTATGGATCATTTGAGGAAAAGGTCCCACTTTTGATTCCTACCTGGGAGTTCGGTTCTGTCCCATGTGGCGCTCACCCTCCCCCCTTCCTCCCCGTTGTCCCCTCTATTTATCTGCTCTCCTCTGTTTTCTCTCCTAATTAGCTGCCATTCCTCTCTTTCCCAACATATATGATTCTCCCTCCTCCTCTTCCCATTCCGGGATCTCTATTCTCTGCAGTTCAAATTTATTACAAAATTCTTTCATATCTTCAGGGGGTTCTCAAAAATGCAGTGACTCCATCTCTCCAGCCCGATTAAACATGCTGAATCGACCCATCTATACTGCACATTATGTCTTTCAACAGTTCCAACAATGGTTTTCAATGTCCTTTTTCTTCTCAATGTCCCAGGTGCTATATCTGCAAAAATTTGAATATTTTTTGCCCTCCATAATTTAATATTAGATCTTCCCTTGATCTTCTTCCATATCCTCATCCTTATCTCCATATTTTATGAAATTGGACAATTTATATCTCTTGATTTTTCTGGGCCTGTTTTCTTGTTGGAATTTTCCTATCCTATAAGCTCCATCCAATTTATACGTCTCCGCACCAGGTCTATCCATTATGGAGTTCAAAATTTTGCATGTGGTTTCTCCTTTAAATCTTCCCCCCTGTAGCAACTCTGGGACCTCTCACTTATTCTAATGTTATTTCTCCTTTCTCTAGTTTTCTTGGTCCTCCATCATATAAAGCAGTCTTTTTTGTTCCTTCCGGGTATCCACTATCAATTTCTCTATTTTTGGATAATTTGGGTATATTTTGACTGTCTCCCGTATCGGTTTCTTCCACCCCTAATTAGCAGTTGTCCCATTTCTTTCCCGCATTATCCCCATTCTCTTGCTTTATAGATTTTTCCAAGTTTTTAAACATCTCCGCCATTTCCTTTTTTATTCGGTATTTGGCAAGGTCTTTTTTCAGTTTCTCCCAGTTATACCTTCAATTATTTTGTTGACTATTGTTAACTGCTCCCAGGGAGGATCTTGAGCTATTATCTAAGCTTGTTTCCAGGTCGCACCTTCTCACTTATTTCCCTGGGATCTTATAGGAGTCAATTTCCCCTCTGTGATGTATATTTTTTTTTTATCGTCTGCAGTTTGAATTTGGGAATTCTTGGGCATATTTCCTTTGCTATTTTTCCCTTTCATGTCACCTGTAAGGTTCTTAAAGGTTTCTTTTAAGGCTCTTTAGTCTATAGTTAAGCTATTACTTCTTTCTCTTCTTCTTCTTCTCTAATCTTCAGACCCTCTCTGGGAACCCCGCCCCCTCCTTACTTCTCAAGGTGCTTATCAAATGGGCTATAGCAGTAGCCAAATAGTAATCATGTAGGCAGATTAACAGTTCTCACTCAGCACCACTTCAGTGAAGCTGCTTCAGAGTTTGCTGTTCTGGGTTGTTTGATCTCCTGTGGCCATGTTCTTAATGGGGGTTCCTAGTGGGTCCTTTTTTTCCTTTCTCCTTGTGTCGTACAGCCTCTCCTGGGGTCTGCTTTGATGGCAGGACACAGGCAACGTTTTTTTTTTTCCCCCAGTCTCTTAGGACGCCAGCCGGTTTCCCTTCTTTCCCAGCAGTCCCCCGCGGCAGCCCACGTGGTTACTCCGCTACCGTCCTCGTCGTCGCCTGGCAACCCCACTCTCCCTCCTGGAATCACCTCAGGCAGTCCTCCAGCGGACAGTCGCCTCGGCTTCCCACCCCCCAACAAGCCACCGCACGCGCCGCCAGGATCCCCCGCCTCTCTCGTGAGTCTTCGGCAGCTCAGCGGTTACGGACACATTTGGGAGGTTAGGAGGGGAAGGTTTATCGGAGAGCGTCTAATCTCCGCTCTCCCGCGTCTCCATGGTCAGGCTCCACCCCCCCCTTTGGTTGGGACATTTAGAAACTAGGAAGCCCTCGAATCAGAACATTCTGGTCTTTGTATATCCACCCCTGAAACTTCTTCCTCATCTAGTTCCCAAGATCAAGATGGAGAGAAATCTGGACTGGCCCAGGTGGATGTGGTATAACAACCTGGTAAGATGCTCCTTGGGTACGTTCAGATCATCAGGAACTTCTGTCCCAAAGACAGATTAGCCATCCTGCTTCTTGGTTGCTGGTTTTTAATGGAGCATGTCTGTTGAAGCTAAGGTTCTCAGGTATTGGGGACATCTCTGAGCCTGTGATTCCTACAATGTTAAAAGCTAGAAAGTCTAGATCCCGTTAAGGTCCATCATCAGATATATAGTTACATAGTTAGTCTGGCTGAAAAAAGACAAAAGTTCATCCAGATCAACCATTAAAAAAAACCCAAAAAAGTTATAATCCTATAACCACGGTTGATCCAGAGGAAGGCAAAAAAAAAACATATGTTAAGCATGCTTAAATTGGGCTGAGTCTGGGGCTTCCATCCAAGGATTTTTTTTCTGTGGGACAAGTCCTACAGCTGGGTCTGGACCACCATTTGGCTCTCAACACCATCAATGGTTAGGTTTCTGACCTCTCCATTTTGTTTCAGAAACTGTTGGCTTCTTGCTCTTTGATGACCTTGGTAAGGGAGGGGGATCTCCTGTAGCTTTGCTTGTCCGTTTCCCTATGACTTCCTTCACATTCATCAGATTATCTCTACACTACAGAAACCACCATTTGAACCCAACAGAGACATTTTCTGCAGTACTCTTACACACAAGGCTGTTTCTAGTAGCCATCACCTCCATGAAGCCAGTGTCTTGACTGGTGGCCTTTTTCAGAAACATCTTCAGACTTTGCATAAGGACTAGGTGGTGTTGAGGCCCAGGACTTCCTTTTTTGCCTTAGGTAGTATCTGCCTTTCATCTCAACCAGGACATTGTTCTTCTGTCCCTTTGTCTAACCCCAGTTCACCAAAACAAAATTTCCCCTCCAATGTATGCATGGTGTTCAGGCTGTGGGAATTTCTCTGCGAATGCATCTTTCAGATAGAGTGACTCCATTGTTGTCACTAAGGCTGGCCATACATTATACAATAATCTTGCACAATTTTCCTTTAGATTTACCAAAACCATGTAATATGAAGTCATACCTTTAAGCTTTCGATTTGTATGCAATAAAGCAAGGCCTTGCACTACATAGTTGAAGTTCAGTCTAAAGGAAATTGAATAAGAAAATTGTATAATGTATGGCCAGCCTTAGAAAAGATCCCCATAGGGGTGTACTGGATACTCGTTGCACCATCACTAGTTGGCTCATGCATCATCCAAGCTTATGATCTCCAGGATCATGTTTCAACTCTTTTCTGTCAAGGCATGCTCTGTTAGGTCTGTGAGTGCTTCTTGGGTCCTTCAGATCATTTGAAAGGCTGTTCTTCTGTTCACAGGTTCTGCCAGCTGGATGCTTTTGGCCTCTTATGATGCCAACTTACGGTGTTAGGTCCTTCAGGTGATTCTTTTCAGTTGCAGGAAGTCACCAGCTAATTGTTTTATGGGCCAGTTACTGTTTGTTTGCTCGCCCCTCAGTTGGAGAGCTTTTGGAAATCCAAATGTTTAAGATTTTCTGTGTGTTCAGTGGATGGCAAAAAATAGGATTCTTTTATCTAGCATAAATTCCTTTTTTTTTTTTGCAGGGGAATCAATTGTAGGATAAAGGTCCCCACCCCACTATGTTTAAGTTTGTGCTCCTGGTCCTGCTTTGTTTTTGTATGGATGCATGTAGGAGGGGGTTATCTTCGGCTGGCCTACATTTTTTTTGTTTGCTAGTGTCCAATCCTTCTGTATGCAGCAGCACAACCCAAAGGTTTAAGACTTCCTGTGCCCCTCAAGAAAAAGATTTTATGGCGAGTACATTTTTTTTTGATTAATTGAAAAAATAAGAAAGCATTTTCAATGATATATTTAGCAAACTAAAAGGGGCAAATAAGAGAAGCTCAGAGTTTCCATACATGTTAAATGATTAGTTATTTAATATTCTTATTACACATACACAGTTTGCATTAGTTTTCAAGGGCATGCATTTTTAAACACTGCAAAACTCCAAATTCCACAAAATAACAGGAAATATTTTAAATAGATCTAGATAATGGGCTAAGAAGTCTTACCTTATGGTGAGCTCCAGTATCTGGGCCAGTTTATCATGTAGCATGTTAGCCTGTGTACAAAGAAAAGGTATTAGACACAAAAAGATGATTATGTCTACCAGAAAACAGGCGAATCTCTAACTATGGCTATAATCTTTGTCCTTTCATTCATAGATATTCTGCATCGTGTCCCATTTATTTTGACACCAAATTATTTGTTTCTTGTACAAAGAATTGCAAAGCTATTTGCAATTCAATATCTTCAACACAATATTGCAATTCAAAAATAATAATTTTTTTTTTTTAGGCATGGGTTTACACTATTAAAAACTAATGTATGATCAATAAAAGTTTATATGAATAGTAAAAGAAATTAAACCAGGCAAAAAAAAAAAAGCAGTAAGAGAAAGCAGGCCAATGTCACACCCATCTGTGTTTGCTTTTGTTCATTTTTTTTTAGAACTATTTTTTAATGTGTGTTGTAGAAGTGACAAGAAAAATTCATAGGAGCAGGATGGAAATGTTTTCTCAAATGAACAAATTTCTAACGGAATGTGATTTTTGTTTGGGCAAGTCCATTCACTTCAAAATCGAATGATAAAATCAAATATTTCTTGACATTTTTCACGTCATCTAATGTAATGACAGAAATTTTGTACAAATTTTCATATGAACTTTTGGTCAAAAATCTACTATGCTAGTGTCTGGCCATCTTTACTTTTTCTGATGGCCACAAACTAAAATATTTTGCCGGTGTTTGTTTATATTCTAGCAGGCACGGTCAAGAACAGCTGTTATTGTTGATCATAGCTGAATTAGCTACTGAGAGCAGCCAGGAATCACATAATTGGTATCTGCAGCTACATGTACATAATCTGTTCTGGGTTAGGGGAACACAGTACACCACTTCTGAGACTGCTGTGTTCACTGGACACAGCTGACTGCAGATCCTGGCTGTCGAAGATTAAGTGATGACATTATCACAATGTCAACAAAGCTGTTATGAATTAACTTGATTCATAACAGCTGTTTCCTGCAGATTGAAGCTGCGATTGGCCCACAGCTATCACATGGTACCTGGGCCAATCACATCACCCTGTACCATGTGATTAGCTGTAGCCAATCACAGAATCACATCTCTCATGAATAGGTAATTGTAACATCAAATGTGAAAAAAAACAAAACTCCCCAATCACCCTCCCCCCAGAGTAGCATGGATTTCCTATGGTGACACTGAACTACTCAGATGAGCGAAAAAAAAGAGAAAAAAAAAAGTCAAAAAAAGTTTTAAAAATTGAATAAAAAGATGATTTCATTTTTTTTTTTTTTTAATATGGTCACCAATCAGCATCCCTGATCACCACCGCCACACCAGTCATAAGATGATGCTGTACTGCACTGGTGACAATACGTAAAAAAAAATAAAAAAACAAATAAAAAGATGTATATTTTCTGAGTTTTTCCCAAAAAAACTGTGACAAAAAATTGCAACTTCAAACAACTCAGATTGCCTCTTACTAAATGCCTCAGGCTGTCTACTTTCCAAAAAGGGGCCATTTGTGGGAATTTGTACTGTCTGGCCATTTTAAAGGCCTCAAGAGATGAGATAGTACATCAGGATTGACCATTTTTCAAATAGATGCTACAACTTTAACGCAAAAAAAATATCATATACACTTATTGGGCTTTTTTTTTTTTTTTTTTTTTTTACCAAAGACATGTAGCAGAATAAATTTTGTCCTAAATTTAAGAAGACATTTTATTTTACTGAATATATTTTATAAAAAAATTAAGAAAGAAAATAGAAAACATTTTTTCATTATCGCCCAAAAATAAAAAACCCAGTGGTAATCAAATACCACCAAAAGAAAGCTCTATCTGCGTGAAAAAATGGTATACATTTAATTTACGTACAGTGTTGCACGACTGCACAATAGCCAGTTAAACTAATGCAGCAGCGTATAGCAAAAAAAATGGCCTGGTCACAAATGGGGTAAAATGTCCTGGGACGGAGGTGGTTAAAGCACCTCTGCATGTTGGTGTAAAAACTGTTCTGCATGTTGGTGTAAATGGTGCACTACCCCCTCCCCCTATAATGAAAAGTGTGATATTGGTTACTGTGCCACAGTCAGAAGGAACTAAGGAGCAGGTCAGTAACAAACACTCACTTTAGATTCACACTGTGCAGCAATTTCTTCAAATGGTGCTTTCTGGAACTTTTCTATGACCAGACGCCTTTTCTCCTTTTCTTGCTCTTCCATTCCTGTATTGTCTAGAAGAGATGAAAAACATGACGTAATAGCACCAAAGCACACCTAAACGATAATTCTACTTTTTTTTTTAAATTTACCCTGGCTTGTACATTTTTTTAAAATTTTTTCCTGAGAGTTTATTTTCTCAGACCAAGCTATTTCTGCACTGCTAAACATACTCAGATCTGACACTAAAGTGTATGTACAGCCAAAACTTTGTTTGTTTTGGAAGAAGTGGAAAACCACCTTCTTGCTCCTAAAGGGATACTAAAATCTTGCTTTTTTTTTTTTAAATAAAACAAGCATGTCTATACTTACCTGCTGTGTGCAGTGGTTTTCAGAGAGCATCCCACATCCTCTTCTTCTCGGGTCCCTTGTCAGTGCTCCTGGCCCCTCCCTCCCGTTGGGTGCCCTCACAGCAAGCAGCTTGCTATGGGGGCACCTGAGCAGGCAAGCTCCCGAGCCATTGCTCTGTGTGCCCATTCACAGACAGAGCTGTGGCTCGTCCCGCCCCTTCCTCTCCTGATTGGCTCACTGGCTGTGATTGACACCCCCCCAGCTCCCGCTGCTGCTTCAGCCAATCAGGAGCGAGAGTCCCCAGAGAACAGAGACACTCACTCGCTGGATCAGGATGTGGCTCAGGTAAGTATTAGGAGGGCTGGGGGGACTGCTGCACACAGAAGGTTTTTAGAATGCAGAAAGGTAAAAAAAAACCTCAAGCTTTTAGAACCACTTTAAGCCCAGTAGGTAGGAACCAGCTGAATTTTGGTATGTGTGCACCACTGTCCGTTTAACAGAAGCCAGTCTAAGTACTAATTGCTAGAAAACCAGCATTTGATCAGCTCATTCACACAAATAATGTAAAATATAAGGCACATGGATCAGGGTAAAAGACTGTTATAGATGACCCCCCCCCCCCACATTGTCTTGATTCCCACTTTAATTAATGCAGACTGCTGAAATTTCCTAGTTCTTAGCCTGGGACAGTTGTACAAATACGTTCTTCTGCTAAAAGTTTAATGGTGGTTTAGAGGTATAAGAGTAATCTTACCAATGGCCTTCTTCAATGATTCAAATGTAATCTCTTCAGTGTTCACCTATAAAGAAAAAGGTTAAGGAAACTGTAAATTTAATCGTACTGGCAAACTATCCTTAATATACACTGCTAAAAAAAAAAAAATGAAAGGAACGCTTTGAAAACCATCAGATCTCAATGGGGAAAAATCTCCTGCTGGATCTCTATCCTGATATGGACGGGGTAATGTGTTAGGAATGTAAGGATGCCCCATCGTTTGATGGAAATGAAAATGATCGACCTACAGAGGACAGAATTAAAAGACACCCCGATTAGCAAAGTAAAAAAAATGATGCAGCGGATTAGGTCATTTTGCTGAAATTTCATTGCAGCAACTCAGAATGGTCCTCAGTAGGCAATATGGCCTCCACGTGCTTGTATGCATGCCTGACAACGTGGGGGGCATGGTCCTAATGAGACGACGGATGGTGTCCTGGGGGATTTCCTCCCAGATCTGGACCAGGGCATCACATAGCTCCTGGACAGTCTGAGTTGCCACCTGGCAGCGCCGGACAGACCAAAACATGATAACCCAGAGGTGTTCTACTGGATTTAGGTCAGGTGAGCGTGGGGGCCATTCCAATTCTTTCATCCTCCAGGAACTGACTGCATTGCATACTCTCGCCACATAAGGCCGCACCTTGTTGTGCACCAGGAGGAACCCAGGACCCACTGCACCAGCATAGGGTCTGACAATGGGTCCAAAGATTTCATCCCAATACCTAATGGCAGTCAGGGGGCCATTGTCTAGCCTGTAGAGGTCTGTGCGTCCCTCCATGGATATGCCTCCCCAGACCATCACTGACCCACCACCAAAACGGTCATGCTGAACGATGTTACAGGCAGCATAACGTTTCTCCACGACTTCTCCAGAACCTTTCACGTCTGTCACATGTGCTCAGGGTGAACCTGCTCTCATCTGTGAAAAGCACAGGGTGCCAGTGGCGGACCTGCCAATTCTAGTGTTCAATGGCAAATGCCAATCGAGCTCTTCAGTGCCGGGCAGGTGAGCATAGGGCCCACTAGAGGATGTCAGGTCCTCAGGCCACCCTCATGAAGTCTGTTTCTGATTGTTTGGTCAGAGACATTCACACCAGTGGCCTGCTGGAGGTCATTTTGAAGGGCTCTGGCAGTGCTCATCCTGTTCCTCCTTGCACAAAGGAGCAGATACAGTCCTGCTGATGGGTTAAGGACCTTCTACGGCCCTGTCCAGCTCTCCTAGTGTAACTGCCTGTCTCCTGGAATCTCCTCCATGCTCTTGAGACTGTGCTGGGAGACACAATAAACCTTCTGGCAATGGCACGTATTGATGTGCCAACCTGGAGGAGTTGGACTGCCTGTGCAAGCACCTCTGTAAGGTCCAGGTATCGTAATGACACTGACCCTAGCCAAATGCAAAACTAGTGAAAAACAGTCTGAAAAGATGAGTAGGAAAAAAAATGTCAGTGGCCTCCACCCGTAAAACCATTCATGTTTTGGGGGTCATCTCATTGTTGCCCATCTAGTGGACTTGTTACTACATAACTGACAAGATCGATATCCCAGGAGTTTCATGGACTTGATGCTATACTCTGATTAAAAGTGTTCCTTTAATTTTTTTGAGCAGAGTAGATGATATCACTGAGATTTCTTTCATTCCAAGATTACTAATGCATGGTTGTCAGTCAAGCTCTTTAGTGAAGAAGGGTCATTTTCTCTATGATGGTTTTGTAGCCGTCTGTGACCACAACTATGGAGATTTATCCTCACTTCCTAACTTAATAAACCCTGGGAGTATTGAAATGAGTTGAGTGTTTTTGTTCCAGAGTCTGTTTTCTATATACTTCTATGGAGAGTCTACTGGGAAGATATTAACACGATCACCAGCACCAGACAGATTCTCTAAACGAATTGGCAGCCAAGCTTTTGGTGTCACTGAGTTAGGAAGGGGAAATCTTGACAAATGGGACACAAACAGGAAGACAAACCTGCAAATATACAGACCCCAGGGGTTCTAGTCTACTTGTAATCACTATCTTGTGTATTGACTTGACTACTGACTGTGTGAGCTGTATTCCAGGCAAGAAGCTCACGCACAGATGATCGTATATGAGAGTGATTTTATCTGGAAAAGGATGGGTTTTTCATTCTATCCAGTGTTGAGATTTACACAGCACTTACAGACCATACAAGCAGCATCAATACCCAACTTCTCTCTGCTGCTGTCAGACAATATAACTAGGTCTGGTCTCTCCCCAATCCTGTGATTGGACAGTGAAAGGAGAAGCAGCATTCTGCTCTCTCTTCCTATCCGCTTGATGCTAGGTCACGAGCAGTTGCAGTAGTTGAGAATTTAAGACTGGTGGATGTGAGGTGACTCCGGATGCCGGCAGAGCTCTGTATGGTTATGTCAGTTTATAGAATGAAGGGGGGTAAATCACAAGACTGGCTGAACAGATTAACAACAGATTAACAACAATTATTAATTTTATTCTCATATATGTACAGTATACAAAATGCATACAATAACTAGCTGTCTGGTTAGCATTCTGATTTAAAAAAGAGAGACCCACAAGGTATATTTTGACATAAAAAAATGCTCCTTTCTTCAAATGTATCAAAAATATGATCCAACCTAGATAGAATCACCAATGGCTGCCAGGAACGTAGCAGGTGCTTCAAGTCACTAGAGACTGCAGAACTCAATCTTTGTTTAAAGAGATCTGATACATTTGCAGGGAGGTAAGAGATTTCCAGAGACACAGGCACTGTGGAGCACTGGCCAGAAAGGAAGCAGATCCTGTTTATTTGGGTCTTTTCACTGTATTTAAAAATATACATTTAATGATGTAGTTGGGCTGGTTCACACCTGAATCGCAAAGAAACGCAGTCCATGTTCCTGTGTGATTCAGAGCAGTGCAAGTTTCAGCCCAAAACGGACTAAAATCACACCAAATGTAGTGCATGCACTAATTTTAAAAACACACTGCAACTAAATTGCATGGTACTGCAGTGCCATGGGATCTGGTACAGGCAAAAGCACTACGATTGCGATCTGCATTTAGGGTGTCATTAGGAATACACTGACACCTCCAGAAGATCACACACCCAATGCACTTTGAACGAGGTGCGGGAAACACACATGGAACACGTGTTTCCTAAAACTAGTTCTGGACTGAAAAAGCCCTTAACCCCTTCCTGCCCAGTGCCACTAGTACAGTGTCAGTGCTTTTTATTAGCACTAATCACTGTATTGGTGTCATTGGGGATGTCAGTGACACCAAGTCAGTTATCCCCCAGTGTCAGAATGCCCGCTGCAGCCTCACTATAAGTCGATGATCGCCGCCATTACTAGTAAAAAAAAAAAAAAAAAAGTATATATCTATCTATATATATATATATATATATATATATATATATATATATATATATATATCACCATTTGTAAATGCTATAACTTTCATGTAAACCAATTAATTTACACATATTGGAATTTGTTTTCAGCAAAGACATGGAGCAGAATACATTTTGGCCTAAATTTATGATGAAATTAGATTTTTTACAGGACATGTTCAATAGCAAAAAGTCAAAAATATAGTTTTTTTTTCCCTCACAATTGTTGATCTTTTTTTTTTTTTATAGCGAAAAAATTAAAATGCACAGGCGATCAATTACCACCAAAAGAAAGCTCTATTTGTGGGAAAAAAAAACGTACATTTCATTTGGGTGGAGAGCTGCATGATCGCACAATTGTCAGTTAAAGTAACGCAGCGCCGTAATGCAAAAACATTACCTGGTCAGGATGGGGGGTAATGATTACAAAGCTGCAGTATTGTTTGTCTTTTGTATCTGCCCTGAATTCAGCATTAACCTCATCTCTTCAATATGTAGTTTTACCGTGGCAGTACATCTGGGCATTTTAACTAATGTTAGGAGATCAGTTACCTTGTCCTCTGTGTTGCTCCCAGTCATAATGTCCACCTGAATGGATATGGTGTCCACTATGCTCTTTCTTCTGGATAATCTGTCTTCATCTATTGGAAGAAAACATCATCAGCAGACTAATAATGGAAATCTGTAAATGCTAGGATGTGTAGTCCTGCAGCTGCCTGCAAACCTGTTCTATCAGCCGGAGACAGCAGCTAAACGAATTTGTGTTCTTATGGTAGAGATAAAAGACGATGACTGAATGTTAACCCAAAGGAAGAGGTAAAACACCCACAAGCCTATTATTTAGCACAAACAGCAATGATGTTGAACTCAATGACTTTTGTTTGAACTCAACTAACTTGTGTTTTTTTTTTTTTTTTCAACGTGTGTAATAAAGTAAAGTACAATAAACTAAAGAAATGCTGATTGGTGGCTATGGGTTACCATTTCATTAATTCTCTTTATGAACACATACACCTGATAACTTTAGAAAGAGCCATCTTTGGTTACTCAATGTTTTACACCGCACTTTTTAACCATGTGTTTCCTAGTTCTTAAAACTGAGAAAAAAAAGCTGTAGTATCTAGATAGTCCAGCCAAAGCTATTGGTTTATTAACCCCCCTGGCGTTATTCCCGAGTGTAGCTCGGGGTAAAGTTTCAGCACAAAAAGCGGTAACCCTGAGCTACACTCGGGATTACCCTGCAGAGTTGCTCTGGGATCCCTCTTGCACTTACCTTGTCCTGCGCTCCCGCGATGTCCCCCCTGCAGGGTCCCCGGCAATGTCCTCTGACTGATGCCGGCATCTATCTCTTCCGTTCCCTGCGAGTGTCAGGACGTACGGGGGACAGAACCAGCAGGAAATTTACATTTTTTAAAAGTGACATTCACTAAATACACTAAAATCTGATAGTATAACATTACTGTATCAAACTATTTCACATACATTTTGTCCCGAGTGCTTTGTCCTGTGCCCTGCCTGCATTTTTACTGTTCTTTCTGCCTGGAAACGTCAATGGCATCCAAAAAGCATCCCTTTACATCAAAAGTGGTTTTAGACCGGCTAGAGAACAGCGATAGTAAATCAGAACCACTTGCAGAATTGAGTGATAATTATTCGTGGGGGAAATTCGTCATCAGACACTGAAAACGGTTTTGCGACTTTGCTCAGTGATGTGCGAACTTGGCGCTATATTTCAAATTTCAGTGTTTTTGGTTTGATTATATTATTGAATTAAATTTATTATATTATTTTTTTTTATGATTATTTATTATATTATAATTTATGATTTTGTATTTCAAATTTTATCCTACCCGGGATGTTTACTAGACTCTTGTTCGGACAGATTTCAGTGAGTTACTCCTAATAATTACAGGCCTACAATAAAAAAACAACATATTTCCATGCAAAATAAAATGTATTGCTTTGAGCACAGAAATACTGACATAATCAGACCGCTAGGGAGGTTAAAAGCTTCTGAGATGCCAGTGGGAATCTATTGGCTCTGCAAAGTTCCAAGGCCAAGGCAGAGGTTACCTCCGAGATATTCCATTCCTACATTCCACAGACTCACATAATGTAAAACAATAATGCCTAGCTAGCTCTGCCATGGCCACAACATGGGGGGAAGCTGGGCTGACAGGGTATCTTTATAAGTCGACAACTGGTGTCAAGCTCTGCAATAGTCCACTTTCGGGATGGTTTCATACTTGCTGTATAGATCAGATTCTAGGTTTCTGATCTTGCAGTATTGAAAGTAGCAGAGCACTGTAAACACAATGCTTCTGCAAGTATGGAATGTCAGGTAGAGCGGAAGTAGCTCCCTGCAGATGCAGATCATTCTGAGTGATGTTTAATTGGCTGATCACAGCCAGTAATAGATCAGTATTAGAAGTGATCTGTGGCTGCACAGCTACATGGCGGCTAGTTTCGGTCTTCGCAGACAAGTTCCAGACCCATGTGACGGAAAAGGATAACTTTTTTTATTTTACTTTTTTTTATGGGCAGCACAGTGGCTAAATGGTTAGCACTTCCACCTGGCAGTACTAGGGTCGTTGGTTCGAATCCCACCCATGGCACCACCTTTTTGGAGTTTGCATGGGTTTCCTCCGGGTACTCTGGTTTTCGGGTACTCTGGTTTCCCCACACTCCAAAGACATGCTGGTAGGTGAATTGGATCCTGTCTAAAATTGGCCCTAGTATGTGTATGTATGGATGTATGTTAGGGACCTTAGATTGTACGCCCCTTGAGGGTTAGGGACTGATGTGAATGTACAACAGATATGTAAAGCGCAGCATATATTGACAGCGCTATACAAGTACCTGAAATAAATTACAACATAAAACAAATGATCTACACGGTACATAAAGGTATTAGAGAAAACAGAATTAGCCTGACTTTCCTGATCTGATTATCTGAATGACAACTGGGATTACTGTATATACGTCAAATGTTCACATAAGCACATACAATATCATTTGGAATTTTTAGTGATTTCTAACCTGTAAAAAAAAAAAGTCGAAGTTGTGTTATTTTGTGTCCCCACCAACCTGAACGGACCTTATTTGAAAGATATATTACATAGTTACATAGTTAGTCTGGCTGAAAAAAGACAAAAGTCCATCCAGTTCAACCATTAAAAAAAAAAAAAAAAGTTATAATCCTACACCCACAGTTGATCCAGAGGAAGGCAAAAAAACCCCCAGCAAAGCATGATCCAATTTGCTCCTGCTAGGAAAAAAATTCCTTCCTGATCCCCCAAGAGGCAATCAGATATTCCCTGGATCAACTTTACCTATGTTAGTATCCAGTTATATTCTGTGCATCTAAAAACGAATCCAGGACTTATTTGAAGCAATCCAAAACAACAATTTACCCAAACTTGGTACGATGCTTCGGATGAAGAATCAAATCGTGTTTGAGCTTTACTTGGTACATTAGATTAAATATGCTTTGGTATATTACTATACACCTGTACCTACCTACAGCTTGTACTTACCTGACCCTGTTTTGTAAGGTTACAGTGGAGAAAGAATGGTCACAGACAGTGCACTGTTAAAGTTCCATATTACTCTATATGAAATGGTAGACTTACCAACCTTAACCAGAAAAGATCAGTTTACAGTAACGTAAAAAGGAAAAACGTATCTAAATTTCTTAAAACAAACAACACAAATTAGTGCAATAAACTACTTAATGTACACCTGTGCTTTTCCATGCTGGAAAGAGGCTACTTTTAAATCAACCCTTTTGCCACTGCAAAGACATTAAGCAAAGCCCTTTTGTGAAACAAAAGTCTATACTTACCTTTCTGGCTGGAGGTAGGTTAAATGTTAGCTCTCTTGAAGAGCTCCAGGTGGCGACGGTATACGACACTTCCAAGGTGTGTCAGATAGCATATCCCCCGCTGGGCACAGTGGTTGCTCTATCAGCAAAATCTATCCCAGATGGAGCTTAGACAGGGCTGAGGTCCTTGCCACCCTGTGTTATGACTTGGAACTGCTGAGCATTTTCCTTTCTTCCTGCATCCAGCAGGGCACTGCACATGTAAATCTCAGTTTTCTCCCACATCCAGTGAACTGCTACATGTGGTCTACTTTATCAGAAGAGTGGCCATTCTTCAAGCCAACACAAGTCAATCTGTGTCATTAGTCCCAACAAAGACTACCAAACTGCATGAATGGAGGTCCTCCAGCTATTGAGAAACTACAAGATCCAGAAAACTGTCAGAAAGTGGAAAGGAAGACTTCAAATACTAGTTGGTATGAGATCGCACAGTCCATTTCATGTGGCAGAAGATCACACAACCAATAACATGTGACAGTAGGTGGGAAGTCACATTATCCTTTCCATGCGGCAGTAGGGGAAGGTTCACAAGGCCTCATCCATGTGACATTAGGGAAGGGTTCACGCAGCCCTTTCCATAAGGCAGTATGTGAGGGTTCACATGATCCACTCCATTTGCTGTAAGTAAAGAGTCAGATGGCCTGTTTCAAGTGGCAATAGGTGAGAAGCTCCGTGACCCTTTCCATGTGGTAGTACGCGAGAGTTCACATGAACCCTTCCATGTGCAGTAAGTAACAAGTCAGATGGTTCATTTCATGTGGCAGTAGATGAGACGTTCTATGGTCCTTTCCATGTGATAGTATGTAAGGGTTCACATGACCCCTTCCATGTACCATAGATAAGAAGTCAGATGGCCCATTTCATGTGGCAGTAGGTATGAACTTTTATGTCCCTTTCTATGTGACAGTGTGTGAGGGCTCCAGTGGCCTGTTCTGTGTAGTAAAGTAAGGATAACATGAACCATACCATGTAACAGCAAGTGAGGGTTCACATGATTTTTTCCTACATAGGAGCAGAGTAAGGATTACACAAGTCGTAACATGTGGCAGTAGGTGAGGGTTCTGATGGCCCGTCCTGGTGGCAGTAGATTACTTGCTTCCTTACATCTATCAACTGCTGATCAGTGGCCAAAACGTGTTGGCTTAATGCCTAAACTGATGTGTGGCACATCCTATGAAATACTCCTAAAACGTTTTGACTGCATGATGACCCACACGTCCAGAGGCTTGATAGCTAGGACTTGCCATACCTACTTTATACACAAACAATGGCCACAATTTTATAGCTTTGATCATAAAGGATGCTCAAAAAGAAAGTTTACCTCTGTAGCTCCAAAAAAAAAAAATACACAGGGCTCCATGTATGATTAATTTACCCAAAAAGTGAGTGCAACCAAAAGTGCACACGATGTAGGGGGAAAGATAATTGAAAAGAAATGCAAAAATAAAAAATGTCAAGGAATAGATTACAGGTAGAAGATATAAAAAAAAAAAGTGAACTTACACTTTAAAAAGTCCCAGCAAGACACATGTAACTCCAATTCCACTGCAAAGCCAAGACATGCCTAGAGCCGATTCTAGGGCAGGATGATTACAACCTGCTGCTGTAAAATAACTGTTTCATCCCACAGCAAAAAGAAAAAAATGTCCCTTTGAAAATTAATGATTTCATATTGCGCTTTCATGATTACACGTTAAATAATTCACACTGCCTCGATCCATTTCAGCTAAAGCTGAAATAATGTCTCTGCTTTCTCGG